CGTCATTCAAGGGACTGCCACATGGACATGGTGATGACATGGCAAACACTGTTGGGTGATGACGTGGCATTCCATCACTGCCACGTCATCACTTGATAGAGGGGAACCAACGTCAGGTACTAAATTAAAAAAAAATTAATCAGGTATTTAAAACAAAAATAATAAATTAATAGGTAGTAATCTGAAAATCGACCTAATTGGAGGTAGTAATCTGAAAAACCGACCTAATTGAATGTAGTAATCTGAAAACTACCTTATTTGAAGGTAGTAATCTAAAAAATTAACCTAATTTGAAGGTAATAATCTGAAAACTGCCTTATTTGAAGATAGTAATCTGAATATTTGTGGCATTAACTTTCCTATCTTACAAGTAAAACTTATAAGATTTGAAATTAAATTTTTATTTTAAAAACTTATTATTAGTAAATATAAATATTACACACATATATATTATATATATACTGAGTTTTAATATAATTCCATAATTTTCTTTTTTTATAATCAAGTGCAATAGTTTCCATACATGATCAATGGGAAGCTAATTTATGTGCATTTGTTGCTTTTGTTTCTAGTTACAGGTGTTTTATGTCTTCTTCATCTTATTAATCTTCACTTTTCTCCGCTTCTTCATTGTCCACTATCTTTGTTGAAATTTTTGGTCCATTTTCTATGACAAACCAAAGTTTGAAGTCGATGGATTGTATGAATATTCGCATACGCTCCTTTCACTCAGTGTAATTTATGCAATCGAAATATGAGGGCCTCAAAATAGGTTGTCCTTCAATGACAATTTTCAGATTACTACCTTTAATTAAGTCAATTTTCAAATTACTACCTTCAATTAAGTCGATTTTTCATATTACTACCTCCAATTAGGTCGATTTTCAGATTACTACCTATTAATTTATTAACTTTTGTTTTAAATACCTGACTAATTTTTTTTTCTTCAATTTAGTATTTGACGTTAGTCCCCCTCTATCAAGTGATGACGTGGCAGATGGATTGCCACGTCATCACCCAACAGTGTTTGCCACGTCATCGCCATGTCCATGTGGCAGTCCCTTGAATGACATGGCAGACACTATTGGGTGATGACGTGACAATCTATTTGTCACGTCATCATTTAACAGAGGAAACTAACGTCAGGTACTAAATTGAAAAAAAAATTGTCAGGTAATTTTAACAAAAAAAAATTTAAAAAGTAATAATCTGAAAATCGAGCTAATTTGAGGTAGTTTAAACATATTTAAGCCATTTTAATATTATATTTTAACTGACTTCTTTTATTGGTTTTTCCTTTTGCGTATGTTTTCATGTTTCCATATCTTTTCACCTATTATCTAATAATATAGAAGCACATATACTTATTTGTCAAGTATTCAAGTTATTTATATATATTATTTGTTAATATTATATGTAAGTTCAAGGGATCTATTAGATTTATATAAATAAATAAACTAATAATATATGAAATAAATCATTTTATTTATTTTCATGCATATTATAATTTATAAATACAGCAATATATGTGTGTGTGTTTTATTAAATAAAGAGAAATTATAATTATAAATAAATTAAAATTTTAATTCAGATGTCAATAAATAATGATAATTTTTTAAAAATAATTACTCTCTTAAATGTATTAAAATAACTAGTTTTTTTTTGTAACAAACCGAAATGCCAAAAGTGACAATAATTTGAGATAGCTAGAGTAATGATAATGACTAGGAAATTATGTGCCTGTTTTGTTTTTTTTTTCGTTCCTGGAGTATCCAGGGCCGATAGTAGTGACTAATCTCCTCGCTATGTTGGAGGCACCTCAAAGGGTGAGATAGCTGGCCCCAAGATTTAACGCGACTGCATACACAAGGCATGATTCGAACCCCTAACATTGCTTAAGCATGGATCAACCCCTACCGCTGAACCACACGCTTGGGATTATGTGCCTCGTTATTGTTTTAAAAAGTAAAAAAGCGATAAAAATAAGAGTTTATAAAATAGTAGAGTGTGGTTGTAAATATTAGTTAAAAAAAATAGTAAAAAAAAATAGACATCAAAACAACTAATTCTTTTTATTAATAGTTATAGATTAATAGACATTACATCATATGTGTTCAAATATTCATTCACATAATTCAAACACTAATTGTTGGCACATATTAGTGAAGAAAAAAAATGAATGCATAAAGGCTAACAATACTCTTTATTATTATTGATTTTAAATTTAAGTGAAATCCATTGAATATCAATGTGAGTCTACTTTTTTATTTAATAATTGTTTTCAATTTTCTTATATTCTTATTTGTTTATGAAGATATATTTATATATTGAGTGTTAAATTGTGGAACAAATGTTTAATAAGAAAGTAGGGACAAACTAGTTAGTATTTAAACTTGCAAGGTGTTGTATTGTTCAAATAGTCCAAACATTTTAGACCGATCAATATGAGACTTGTATATCTCTATTTAATTGTTTAATCTTTAGTTTGATTTTTTTTAATACATCCCTTATGTTCAGTATTATTTACGTGGATAAATGGTAGATGATTTTTTTTAATAATCTAGAATATGTGGCCATTTTTAAGGATCTATGATAGCTTTAATATCATCTTGGAATAATAGATTAGAGCCTAACTCAACTCTACAAAACCGACTTATAATTAAAGTGAGTGTTACTTTCCACTCATATATTTTTTACTTATTTAATTTCTAGTCAATTTGAGACTTGAATTTTTTTTACTAACGTCTTTACTTTTGGTTTTTGTTTATTTGTATTTCTCCTGTCTTAGAGATTTAGTTTTTCTATTAGCTAGACTAAACTTCAGTTTTATTTTTTTAAAAGATTTGCTGGATAAAATGGTTAAGCCTTAATTTTTTATTTTTTTTAATGCTTAAAGTTGTAGATAGGAGTGACACTCCATGATAACTACTAAATCTAATAAGTTGACCTATTTATATGCACATATATAATATATAAAAAATGTGATAAACTTCAAGTTAATGTCATTAAGGTGGCTAATTAGGAATAAACATCAAAATGTTTATGTAAAAAAAAAAAAAAAAAAAAAACCTTCAAAAAACTTCACCTTCAAAATACTTCCTAAAGTGTAACTTGTACTTATGTGATTTAGTTTTATAATTTTGTTGTGTTTTATTGTTTTAGCTTGTTAAGACAGACGTAAATTCAACAAATTAAAATTTATTTATTTTTTTGCAAACTAACCTCTGTTTTCTATCCTAGAGATATTCTAATGTATGTTTCACATGAATCGTGTGTTAATTAAAAAATGCATGTATAAAATTACAAATAAAGAGTATCTAAAACAAATTACAAATAAAGCAATTCTGATCAAATCAAAGAAGAGGGACCATGCACCATTAATGCAAGTTCCATGACAAATTATTCATTACTTTCCATTCGTTGCTACTGTATTGCTTTTCTGGTCCCCGAACGTTATGTTCATAGAAAACTCAACGATAACGAAAGAAAGTAGAAATATACAATTTACTCGGCCCTATTCACTTTGTTATTTAGTTGTGCATTATCTTTACCATCATAATTAAAAGACCAAATTAAAGGACTTGGCACTATCAATCCCTTCTATATATATTCTCTTGTAACTTGATGGATTAATATATATATAGTAATTAAACACACTAAACTCACATATTATAATGATGATCTATAAGAGAATCTATGTTCAATCTCTATTGTAATTGTGTGAACATTTTTTAAATTAATGATAATCATAGTATTACGAGAGATATTAATCTCTAGTTTAGTAAGTTAAAAATACCCGTAACACAACCAATATATTCTCTTATTTAAAATGCTTTTGATATAATTTGTAACCGGTTTCTAAAACAAAAGCTCTGAACTTTTAATGCAATAGTCTACAAAACGTTGAGGGCAACATGAATAAAGAAGAAATATTGTGCTCAAGACCATGATATAAGTGCAAGAGCATGGAAAACGACGAAAACAACTTTTAAGTGGTCAAATTAATACATTTTTAAAGCATGTTGTGTTTCATGCATTGTGCCCAACATCGATCTTTCTATCGCCATCGTTTATGAAATGTGCTTCATGCTTTTGAAATGTGCTTCATTTAAAATTCCTAGAGGACCCGGCAATAATTACTATACGGATAACAAAGTTAAATTTTACTACGTTAGGAAAAGAAAAGTGTTCTCTCAATTTTTGTGATTTTTTTTTTGAAGATTTTATTGATTAAATCATAAGGTATATAATTTCAAAGAATAACGATATTCACAGAGGTAGTGCACTAACTTGAAATAACCAACTCTTGCACAAAAATATATGGGCTTTACAATGGTATTTTCAAATGGGCTTAGATTTAAAAACTTGAAAATGAAGACATGGATTTTGCTATTTACACTACCTTGTTTGCTAAATACACACTCTTT